AAATTTTAGAGAAAGAAATTTAATAAACTATAATTTTATACATTGTCGAGAAGAGGATCTCAGTTTTCAATTCAGATAAGTTAAAATTGAGTTATTTTATTCAGTTATAGATATGCAACTTCAAGAGCTTTATAATATGTTTGATGAGATAACTACTTAGTTGCATATGTCGATCCATGTGCTCTTGATTGTAAGTTTTTTTATTATATACTTTATTTTTTAGTATAACAGTCTAACGAAAAAAAAATCGCCGAGGCCGATCCCAAGCCTGGATAAAAATGGCTGAGGGTTTTTTTAGTATTCATAATGTGCCCCACATAAAAAAAAAATCCTTTCTTCGCCTCTGTGTGCAGGGGATGGGCTTGATTGGTGACAAGGTTGTATGAAGAGGTGTAGGTGACATGTTTGATTACAGAGTCAGTGGAGAAATTATATGAAGAGGTGCATTCAATGTTGCGATATGAGGAGCAAGTGTCAAAGCCCCATGAGAGGTGTTGATAATGTTGATTGAGGAGTAAACAATGAAGCTGCAAGAAGAAAGGTGTAGGCAATAAAGCTAGATGAGGAGCTGTTGATGTTACTGTTTCTTCATTTCCATCTAATTATTAATGATGGATTAGGTTGAAACACATGCCACTTTTACTGGAATGCACCTCCTACTTCCGCATAGGAAGGGAGCATTCTTAGTTTCCTCCGGTACTTGGTGGAAGGTGCATGGGTTCTTTAAGGTTAATAATTTTTGGTAATTGCAAAGGAGCAACCGCTACTGAATTATAAAGTTGGCAGATCCTTTCCATGGAGATGCACTGATTTTTTGAGTGATGTCAATCGATGATAATGGGATGGCCTTTCCACATGAGGAGCCAAACTTTTTTGTGCCTAACATGGCGACCAATATTGGTGGAGTTTAATTTGTTGGATCTTCCAAAACTCCACATGTTGTCAAGCACCCAATCATCTAAAACAAAAGAGCAAAATACTATCCCGAGTAAGCCCTCTGACTCTCAAGTTTTACTTGAGCTTGAAGGTGAATAAAAGATGAGTCCAAATTGAGAGCATCCCTTCTGGAGTGAAATAGAGAGAAAGGAAGTAGAATGTACCAAAATGAAAACATCTTACCTTACTCTTTTGGGAAGTATTTATAGGCATTTTAATGAAGATAATTTTGGCACCTTATTTAAGCATATATTGGATAGTTGAGGTAAGCTCACTCCAATATTCATGCCATCCCAAAATAGGTTTGGCATGATTGTGATAGGAAATAACTGTAGAAATCAATTCCCCCTTGGCTGAAATTGGTTGCAATTGAATCAGGTTCGTATGGGTGGCCTCGTATCCATCCACTGGTATCATGCTAGAGCTTTTCCCTTCAAGCACATTCCACTGCCGGCAGTCTTTACTCCGTCAATTTATTGATGATAAAGTATCTTTCTATCTTGTAGATCCACCAATGTGCATCATCTCTCTCAATAACAGGCATCTTCAGCTTCTTCACCCTTAGATCTCCTCCGTCATTCTTGTTTCCTCCAAAAATTTCCATTCCCCAAGGGGGTGGTTCCCCCCAATTGTGTCAATCATCCCTTCTTTGCTCGTACCTAGACCTTTCATCACAATCTCACATTCTGACAGGGACATCAGATCATGGAAGGTTTATCAGAGACGTGGCCGCCGATCTACGACCACAATTGAGTCATTATATTTTTTTATTTATTCTATGTATTTTTCTTATTTATGTTGTATTTTATTTGCTTTATTTAGTTTCCCGTTGTACCCTTTTATTATGGGTTCTCGTATGTAAGCCCGAGGGGCATTGCTGTCTTTTGTCTTTGAGTCTTTTGTATGAGGCTTTATATAGCCCTCCTTGTTCTCTTTTGAGGTTAATGAAGAATTACCAAAAAAATTTCTGCACTTGTTTTCTTATTAGAGCTTGAGAGTCATGGAGAAAGATCCCTAGGAGAGGGAGGAATTGTGAATCACCCACCAACCTAGAAAAGTCGAGTTCGTGGTTCTACTTCTTATCTCTTCCTCTTCCTCCTCCAATCTCCACCGTCGGCACTACTCCTTTCTCGAACCCTTAAGCCGTTGGCCATTTAAAACTCCACATCCACCCGACGTCGATACCTAACCCGCCGCCCCACCCACGGCTAACCCCCACTGCCGACCTCTCCTTGGCCCCTCCCTCCTTCCCCCACTTGCTATCACTTCTTTCCTAAATTAGATTTTATTAATTTGGTAACTCTTATTTGAATAAATTCAAATCAATTTGAATTTCAAATAGTTACTTAAATTATAAATCTTATTTTAGGAAATCTATTAAATCAATTCTTATTTAAATTTTAAATTAAGAGAGGATGAGATATTTCTTTCCAATCTTGATTTATTACTTAAGTAAGCATTCATTACCACATTAAATCCCTTCCTCCCTCTGTAAGCCGCCGGCCCCCCTCCTGGAATTTGAATTAAATTAGTTTCCTAATGCTACCTCCTTTTCTTGGAAACAATTTAAAGTCTTTCTCGGAGCCAATTCCCCAAGAATCCACGTCAATTTCTGTTCACAAATTTCATCCTCCCGAATTGGAAATAATTCCAAAACTTGGCCACAATCTAGCCGCCCCTTCCCTAGCCGTTTTGCTGGGTTTTATCTCTCCAAAATCCTCCTAAAGCTGACCCGATTCATAATTTTCCTGCTCTCCAAGTTGCTTCCAGAATTTCCTGCACATACCACTTAGTTTGCCTTCAACCTTGTTGACCTCTGTACAATAAGTGTCTTATCTACAAACCCATCTGCCTTCCAAAATTTACCTTGGAACTTATTCAGTTAAAACTCCCTCGCCGAATAAAAAGAAAAGCGGGCGGAGGCCGGGGCCGAATTTTCGGAGCCCACAAACCTGAAAGCTTCCAAGGGCTTCATTAAGAGAGAAGTTTGCTGTCTACTAGTTCCCACCGGCTCCCCGTCACCATAGTATCCTCGGCAAAGCTTGCCCTTGCCGTCCAACACATCCCAAATTCAAAACAACGACTTCTCGCATGGATGGCTGACCCAGAGACGGATTACGGCATTGCCTACGATGAACACGGATTCATGCACATTCTCCATTCAACCTTTTTCAACGTCAACCCGAGGATCATCCATACGGTGGAGGATTACATAGAACGTATCTTGGACACCCTAGTTGAAGCTATTGAAGAACAACTTGAGATCGTCGAGTGGAGGATCGCACCCGGCCCTTGACAAAGGTTTTCTAATTTTCCTTTTCTCTTGAGTCTAATTCTTTCTTGTGACTTGATTGTAGTCATGAAGGTCGCGTTCGCCTGAATCTGCCGAGCTTAGTAAACGTAGGGAATTGAGTGCACTTCTTCGCTTTCTACATCTTATTGTTATATTAGGGGTTTTCGTTGAAAGCTACTACTTTGCATAATATTGTTTTTTTTTCTTCGATATTTTGATGGCTAAAATCTCTTGGTATGAAACTTGGCCTAAGCAACAGTAACCACTCATATGTTGTGATTCATCGTTTTATTTGCAAATAAGTTCCTTTGTTATTTCTCTAATCAAGGATTTGTGCAATTTCTTAATAAAATCATTTGCAAGCATCATAGTTCAACATCATATTCTCCCTTCAAATTCAGCATCCCTTCGATCATTTTCAGCCCCCTCTCAAATTTGGCACCCCTTCGATCATAATCAAGTCATTGCCTTTCAAATTCGACCCATCTCTTTTCAAATTCAATACTCCTCCGCTCATGCCCAACCCATTCACGCCTCTCTTCGTACCCTTTACCTGACTCCTCCCTCGGAATATGTTTTAGGACAAGCATTCTTATCCCTTAATCTCCGCTTCCTGATCTTCCCTTCATCTTATCAGATTAGGGTTTTTCTCTCTTCCTTAGCAATAAGCATCTTCCGTGGCCTCTGATGACGCCGTTTTAGTTTGGCCCTCGAGCAACTTCTTCAAGACTCCTCCAAGTTGGAAAGTTTCACACCGATCTTCTTGTGGACGGATGAAATTTGACTTTTGAAATCTAAAACATGAGTTTGAAGATGTGAAAATTCAGATTTCAATTGTTCGATCTACCCCTCCAACACTTACTTCTACCTTTTTCACTGCCACGGATACTCGGATCTAGGCACCAAATAGCAAAAACAACAAAAAAGAACAACAATTCTGGTCTTCAAACAGAAAAAAAAACAAGATCAGAGAGAAAACACAACCGAAATCAGTGATGAGACTTCTATTTCCGCCTAGGAAATTGCTCTGATACCAATTTGATAGGAAATAACTGCAGAAATCAATTCCCCCTTGGCTGAATTTGTATTGCAGCACCCTAAACCCAATCTCCGAGACAAATTTAAGTGAAATAATAGACGAAAACTCTTTGCAATTGATGAAATGGAGAAAAAGAAAACAAGATACAATGAATCCTCAATTGGAGAGGAGGATCTAGCTCTCCCAATTCTCTAGCCGGCGGCTAGAGCCCAAAACTATCTAAGAACACCCAAATTTCAGCAAATATTATATTCCATAAAATCTAACCCTAGGTTAAACAATATATTTAAAGCATATAAAATATAATTAATGTCAAACAGCTCTCCTAATTTGAACTTCCCTCCTTAATCCTCTTTAATTTTCTCTTAATTGCTGGCCTTAATTGCTGATGGACTGCTAGGCCCCACCTCAATTAAACAGGTGAAAGGCTGTCTAACATATTGGTTTTTGTTTTGATTTATGATCGTACCTTTATCATATGAAAAATATTTGTTGTCATATGAAGAATGGTTTTATGCTTATAAATAGATTAAATGATTTTGTTTGAAGAAAATTTTTCGTCATACTTCAGTTGAAGGGCTTTGTTTAGTATTAATACTTGTTGTATTTAATTTTTTATTGTTGGCCCCACAAAAACTAGGTTATCAAGTTAACTATTCTTTTTAAGGATTCCATAAGATTTCTCTGCTTTAGTGGAAATGCAATTTTACGACTGAATATGCCTTTTTGTAGGGCTTACTGCTAGAATCAGTGACCAAACGAGATCGATGGCAGATGTTTATGGTGCATTTTATGATTTCTCTTCCTTGCTCGAGACGAAGGTAAATTACTATTATACATATGCAGAACTTTATAATGATATTTAAAGAATGTCTTAACATTTTTCTAAATATTTTGAAGTGATCCTCTATCTATACACATCTGATTATCATATTCAATGGAATTGTGAAGGTATCTCAATAATCGCACTTACTATAAGTAACAAAGTCTCTTCAGTCAAACTTAGTTATGCAGCTTTTTTGTTCCCTTGTTGCCCTCTTTCAGCCCAAGGGAAACTTAAAATACAAATTTTAAGTTTAGCATTGCTATTATCATCTTCATCAACTCATAGATAGCTGAAAAGTACTTTGATTTGGTAATAATATACAGATTGATGAGAAGGATCCTAATGCTATCCTCACTCGCAAGCGTGTGGATGCTATAAAGAAAGCATGCGTATCAACTGGCTTACTAAATAAGAGGTTAGCACCCATAAGGCCATAATCAACCTTTTATTTATTTATTATTTTTCTTCTCTCTGGTGTTGTAATCTATAGTCCATTGTTTGTCTCTTCCAGGGGACTTTATGTGGTGAGAAAGCGGGCAATGTACAGTTCTGTATTGGTGAGCCCTTGCAAATAGTGCTACTCTATTGTTGTGATGTTTCTAATATCTTCAAGTCACTTTCTCATCTCTTACACAACTCTCCTTGGCCTATTGGTTGAGAGCTAAGGCTTCCAATTAAGAGGTCTAAGGTTTGAGTCTCTGTGTATGCGTTGTGTGTGTGAGTTTGACTTAAATGGCCTAAATGTCCCAAAAAAAAAAAAAAAAAAACTTTCTCATCTCTTACGACCTTTGAACGCAGATAATGGTCGTGGTCCTCCTCCTTGCTATCTTTTCTGCTGCACCGTTGATGAAATGGTGATTCGTCACAGCTAAAGCTTTGTCTGTCAGGTTCGGTACGTTTGTGTAAATTTGGGAAGCAGTTACCGTAGCGCTTGAAGATATTTTTGAAGTTCTGCGTAATTATTTTATTTACAAGTGTAAAATTATATGAATATTCTGTGAAAATTTTAAGAAAATGTAACGCAAGCAATAGTAGGCTATGTCCCCTTTAGAGGTATTTCACCATAAGATGAGCTTCTGTTTCTGTAATTGGTTTGAGGATAACTTTATCCCAGAGAGTAAATTGTTGTGGTTGATATTGCTTGGTTGATTGAGATGTGTAAGAGCTCTGAAACTAACAGCAACAAGATTCTTTAATATTATTAATGGAAACTGACATTCATAAGTAGATATACACATTTTTGAAATTATGAAAATTTTATATTGTAAATTCTTCTAATTTTGAAAAATAATTAAGGACGTAAAATTAGGAGAGTAGCACTTTTTTTTTTGATAAAGTCCATAAAAGGGGCTTACGAGTTAATTTAAAAATGGATTACATGCACAGAATAGAAAAAAGTTCACAATAAATACATCAATTAAGATAAACGTAAGAGCAATTGTTCTAATCTAATAAAATAAGCGAATAATTAAAAATAAGTTCATGACGATCACAAATGAAGAGCAATATGATACAATCAAGTGTAACATAAAGCTAGGCACGAGCAATCAATAAACAAGCCTTGAGAAGAAAAGCCAGAAGAAATGAACCAATGCTAGACAAGCAGCAACATGATCAGCAACAAAATAAACAAGTAATTGCAATAAAAAAAATATATTTTTTTAGCTTTATTTTTGTTTTTCCGCCTACTATATTTCCCACCACCAAGTTTGGAAATTGGAATCATCATCTTTGGTATGAATCACCTTCAAACTAAACAAATCATCTGTAGGCTCAACCAAGTCATTTTCATCACCTCGGCTATTCAAAGAATCACCTTCAATCTGCAGATGGCTTTGTTTTCATTTCATTAATTCCTATTACAATTGGCTTTGTTCAATCACAATTGCATTATAGTTCATGGACTGAAAGACGGGCTATTGTTGTTTGTATAAATCTAGCCGGTCTCTTATATAAAGTATACAATCGCAGATGTGTTCGCTCACGGGCGAACTTCTCACATTTTATATTATTTATCTTTTATATTTGGCTATTAGGTTATTTATTCAGCAACCTTATTATAACTTCTGCATATTTTATTATTGATAGTAAGATATTTCTAAGCGTATATATTTGTTTATAAGAGACCAATAATAATTATGTGGAATAAGTAGATTACGGAGTCCGTTATCTCTAATGGAATTGTGGTTGAATATGTTAAATGCTATAGTAGGGATTAATAATGAAATATACCTTTAATTCATATGATAATATTTGGCGTATGGTTTCACTAAAGTGTATTTTCATTGTAGGTATTTAGTAATAGTTTTACATTTAGATTCCTAATACTAGTTGGTGAAAACTTCAGGCTTCGTTTGTGATAGTTTTTTTATTGTTTTCTGAAGTAAATTTTTAGTACAAAATTTTTTTTTTTTAAATGAAAAAATTTTATGCTAGAAAATGCTTTAGAAAGCATTAAAAAATATTCCCAAACGAAATCTTAGTGTCCATCAAAATATTGAATCATAATAAGACAAGATGATCCCTAAAAAGTTTGTTTAGTTTAGGCTTAAAAGTAATCCCCCTGTTTATAACAAAGGCAAAGGGACACTCTACCTTGATTGTGAATGAGGATTTGAACTTGTAAATGAAATACAAATTAGGGGAATATCTTCGCTAATGAGTGATCAATATAAATTATACAAATGCAATAACAACATTAAGCAATGATGTTGAAAGAATGATCAAGATAATAATGAGAGATTAAATTATAAATATAATTATTAAAGATGAATATGATATTAGTTTATGTGATTAATTTTAAGCACTAATTATAAGCATCTACATAATAAATATATGATCTGATAAGTGCAATGATTGAATTTGCTCAACCATTTTAGCATAAGAATTTAATCAATTAAATCACCATACGACTATATATGAAAGCATAACTAGTAAGTAAAATGTGCAATGAAAATAAAATTAGCTACAAAGCAAAATAGGCGATTCAATATTTACATGGTTCAACTTACCTCATGGCTTACATCAACACCTAAGCATAATTCTAAAATTCAACAACATCTATAAATCTCAAAATCCTTCAATTAGGGTTAGGAATACCCTCACACTCTTCTGCTTCAAAGGGAAGCTCAACATCACCTTTGTTATTAGCAAGGGTACTATATCTAAGCTTAAGCTTCATTTGGGATATCTTTCTTGCTAAAGTATTTTTGTTCAAAAATTTTTGTACTAAAAATCTGTTTTAAAAAATAGAAAAAAAAAGTTATCACAAACGAACACTTAATTTAGCAAATTTTTTAGTGATTAAAACTATCACCGACTATTATGAAGATTATGCAATCTAATACAAAGTGATTGTAAGATAACCACTATATAAATACATTAGAATGAAATTAAAGATTGAGAAAAAAAAGATATATTAGCTTTAAAATAATTTTTTAGAACAAAAATTTTTATTAGAAATCAGGTTGAAACTTTTTTGTACAAAATTTTTTAGTATAAATCATAAGGGCATTAGTATCTATTAGAATTAGGTTGAAACAGGTCAACTCGAATCTAACCCGTTCAATAAACATCTCAAAGGGATGGACCTGAAATTGACCTGCTAGAAACTTGAATTAACTTTAATTGTCAAATGGGTGGACCATAACCTGTTTTAATTACAAAATCTTTTTATTAACTTTTTACTATAATTTTTAAGCTAATTAATTAAAAATAAGAAGATTATATCAATAAATTAAAAAAAAATTAAAGAAAAAAAATATTAAATGGTGCATTTTTGGTTCAAAATTTGGTTGGTGGGTTAGACCAAATCCGAAAGGTTTAATAACGAGTCGGAATACATGACTTGAACCCAAACAGTTTATTAAACGACTCAACCAAACCCTATTTTTTTGGGTTAGATTTGAATTGTGTTGATAAGTCAGATTATTTATTGACACCCCTAATTCATGATGCCAAGATTCGTTAAGTTAGTAAAGGACCCCAAAAAAAAGTTAGTAATGGACTATTAAATTTATAAAAATGCATGACTTTGCTTCATTAATATAAGAATTTAATTATTGATTTAGGTATATTGTGCAAATTTACTTATTATTTGAAAAATACTTCAATGAATTTTATTATGATCATATTTATGTTTTCATTATCTTTCAGATATTCTATAATAGTCATAAATTTAATTATACAACAAAATACTTTTTTTTTTTTTGAGAAAAAAAAAGTGAGAAATACTTAAACACAAAATAAGCTATTTTCTTGGACTACACTTTCTCTTATTGAAATATCTTTTTTTTTAATCTTATTGAAATATCTTGATTTAGCATTTGCTTAGTGAAATATACATGATCTTTTCATAGTTTAGCCAATATGTGTTACTTATATAAGTATTTTGATAGTCATTAGATGATACCACTTTAAGATTTATTATCATTAAATCAGTAATAAGCCTCACATGAGCTATATGGCCACAGGATGTTAATAATATTATATTGCCAATTAAAATGAATGATTATTTGATGAAATTATTGTCAACATTGCTATGCAAATTGTTATGATAGATAGGTTTATTTAATAAAAAATAGTGAATGCAAATTGTTTAAATGTTAAAAAATATGATTGGTTATGAGCAAAAATAATTATATATTTATTTAAAATAATTAATGAAGTTAATAATTAAAAATACATCATTCAATGTCTTCGCTGTTTTTCCGGCCGTTACAAAGGTAGGTGGGAGAATATAGTAAGATGCAGGGAGAGGGAGGCAGAGATCTTCCTTCCGATGATTAGAGCGAGGCGGGACCGGATTCAGAGCGCCGGTCCTGAGTACTGTTATGTCGACTCACTTCTTGATCTCAAACTTCCTAACGAAGGAGGGCGGGGGACTTACGGATGATGAGATAGTGGTTCTCTGCCACGAGTTTCTCGTTGGTGGCATCGACACAATGACGACAGCGCTCGAATGGACCATGGCAGAGCTCGTGAAGAACCAGAGCGTGCAGTCTAAGTTATGGGCGGAGATCAAATCTTTGATGGAAAGCGATGACGTAGAGATCATTGAGGAAGAGGACTTGCAGAGGATGTCGTATCTTAAAGCTTTGGTTATGGAATCTCTGCGTCGACATCCGCTGGGGCACTTCGTGTTGCCGCACTCTGTAACAGAGGACATGACGCTTGGTGGGTTTCTGATACCAAAGGGGACGGAGGTGAACTTCGTTGTGGCGGATGTGAATTGGGACAGGAGGAACTGGGTGGAATTTAAAAAAAATATTATATTATGGTATTTAATAGTTATAAAATATTTAATAAAAATTAATACAATTTTTATTTAGAATAGTTATTTATTAGCGTATTATTTTTTTTTTTTGAAAAAATTGACATTTTCATCTCAATATGTAAGGGTATAAAGGTAATTTATTCTCATACAGCTGCAACACAGCAACTTAACAGTTATACTTCCCAAACAAAATATATTGTTTTAAGTACAGCAATTTCTGAAAGTAACTTTATATACAATAACTTTGCAACCTACTTTACGGACAGCTGCAGCCGTCCCAAACGCACCCTTAGGCCTTCAAATGCCCAACGAACGGTGCACGATCGTAGGATTCAATATCGGCCGTCCATTCGACCACTCTCTATTTGCCCCTGATCTCTCACCTATTTACAAGCCATGCCACTCCATAAAAACTATAAATAGACCTTCATTCCTCATAAGAGGGGACCGAAGCAAGAAGAGAAGAGAAGGAAGATGCTCCTCCTCGACCACCGCAGGAGCCTCGCCGGACCACCTCTGAGCCTCGCCGGACCACCGCCAGAGCCTCGCCGAGCCACCACATGAGGCCCTCACCTTTGCATGAGGCCCTCACCTTCGTCAGAGGCCCTCACATTCTCTAGAGGCCCTCACCTTTGTTAGAGGCCCTCACCTTCGCTAGAGGCCCTCATCTTCGCCAGAGGCCTTCACCTTCTCCATAGGCCCTCACCTTCGCCAGAGGCCTTCACCTTCTCCAGAGGCCCTCACCTTCGCTAGAGACCCTCACCTTCATCAGACCACCACTTGAGGCTGTCACCTCCCCTGAACCACCACCTCACGCCGTTGCTCCGCGGGACCACCACTTGAGGCCCTCATCTCCGCCGAACCACGGTCTAACGCCG